ATTATTATTATTATTATTATTATTATTATTATTATTATTATTATTTCTTCTTTCTGTGCTTCAGACTGAATCTCCTCAATTAACCTACTGTGTTAGTTTCTCAGGTATTTGTCACAATGAAGTGTGACCAAACCTCTGGAACTGTAAGCTAGCACCAATTAAATATTTTCCTTTAAAAGAGATACCATGGTCATGGTGTCTCTTTACAGCAATAGAAACCCTAACTAAGACACAATCCCAGCTGGGCGGTGGTGGTCTGCTCCTCTACCCTTGTGGCCTCCCCCACTCCTCCCAAAAAAGATTTAAAAAGTCCAATTTGTGTTGTTCATATAGCTACTGGAGCATGGTCAAACTCCCAGTGGCCAGCCCCTTAAAGAAAGTGAGTCCTTCTCCACCCCTACCCCCACCAGCAGCCCTCTATTGTGGACAGCTACACTTCAGCTTCCTTATCACTATTTTTAAGAGTTCTCTTCAATGGCTTCCTGTCTAGGTTGCTACTTTTTGGGAGGAGGAGAGGTTGTCACAGAATCCTTCTGTGTCTCTCTTTCTAACTATGTGTCTTCAGTCATTGACACCACTGAAGAAGCTCCCTTGTCCTTTACAGTCAGCAGGAGCATGGACTTCCACATGCTATCTGGTGACAGCATGGACTATGGACATCCACCTGGCCTTTATCATCAGCACATGCCAGGGACCTCAGCATGGTCTCCGGTGACAGTATAGGCCATAGACACCAACAGGGTCCCCAACAGCAGCCCAGCCCGTAGACATCAACACAGGTTCAGGCAGCAGCCCAGACAACAGACATCTGCATGGCTTTTGGTGTTAACATGGGCCACAGACATCAACTCAGTCCCCTGGCTGAAGCAGGACCATGAACTCCAACATGGCCCCTGGTGGCATCACAGACCGTGAACATCCATATAGCCTTCAGTGGTAACACGGTCTGGCCAGGTTTTGATGCCAGCCTGACAATCATTATCAGGGACTCATATCCCTAGTTGTATCTTCTGATTAAGAATATGATTTTAAAAAAGACCGGCAGAGGTCTGATGGCATGAGATAAGATCTGATAAGAGTTTTGGACAGACTAAGATGGCAGAAAGCTGTATTAGTCTCGATCAGTGGTTCTCAATATATGGGTCACAGTCCCCGTAGGGGGTCACATATCAGATGTTCTGCATATCACATGTTTACATGATGATTCAAAACAGTAGCAAAATTATAGTCATGAAGTAGCAACAAAAATAGTTTTATGGGCTCACCATAACAAGAGGAGCTCTATTAAAGGGTTGAATCATTAGGAAGGTTGAGAACCACTGCTCTAGATAAAGAATAACAGAGGCTCGAGAAACAGGGATGAGCTTTATTTAACCTTCTGTATATGTTTTCAAGGTTAAGCCTAAAACAAGTAAAGTTTATTTAAAATCAAATATACTTAATAGATAGCCTTCAAACACTCTTCAGAGATCTGTTGAATACAGCATTTAAAAGTGTTTAGTGAAAAGGGCTTCCTGTGTTAGTATGGACTATTCCTCTACACTGTGTGAATATATGTCACTATGATTGGGTTAATAAAGAAGCTGACTGGCCAATAGCTGGACAGGATAAGGTTAGGCGGGGAAAATCAGACTAAGGACACTGAAAAGAAGGGCAGAGTTGGAGGAGTCACCAGTGAGACATGGAGAGGAAACAGGAGGTGCAAGATGAAAGAGAGGTAATACCACATGGCAGAATGTAGATTAATAGAAATGGGTTAAACTGTAAGAGTTAGCTAGTAACAAGCCTGAGCTATTGCCCAAGCATTTATAATTAATATTGATTATTTGATTATTTGGGTGTTGGTTATTTGGGAATTGGCGGGTGAGAAAGAAAAGCCCACCCACATGTTAGATTTTTTTAAAAAAATGCCAGCTCCTAGTAGCAGCCCTAAGGTCTCCACCAAAGAAGATGACTCCACCTGGATTGTGATAACACTAACCACTGGGAGAGACTGCTCCATTTCACCCACCTCCATGACCCATCCCAGACTGTGGACAATCAGGACACTGAAGAATTGACCACCCCACTTTGCCTCACCAAGGTAGATGGTGTCAGAACCTGGATACATCACTCCTAGGTCAGGCATGTCACAGGGGATGATGGCCTGGCTACAGAAAATGGACCATCACTAAAGTCAGAGAAGATCTGCTAAAGATAAGACTGACATGGGTTGTAGACTAGTAATGTTTTGTCTATGTTCCTGCTCTGTCATGGGATATGTGTCTAGATCCCCCTTTAAGAACAAACGCAAACTTGACATAAATGTCTCACAGCTCCTGGCCACTGCTTCATCAGGTAGACATTTCTTCCTTCACCTCCTGGTTGAAAATGTTTAGTTTGCATGTGATGACAGAGTACATCCCTGCTTAGCTGTTTGGCATACTCATCAAACTCCAAAATTTTATATCTTAATATTCCTAGTTCCCTGCTCATGTATAACAGCCCAGCATGGAGCGAGCCCTGTATTCATGAATCTTTCCAGCTCCCTGGGGCAGAAAGAAATGTGCAGCTCCTCTCCTCATACCCCTCATAGCAAGCTTAGGACTGGGGACAGCTGGAGTCACTCTGCAGGCTACAGGCACAGCAATGGCTGATGTCAGCTACAAAACTTTAGGATGTCTAAGCTGGGTTGTGGTGTCACACGCCTTTAATCCCAGCACTTAGAAGAACAGCCTGATCTACGGAGAAAGTTCCAGAACAGCCAGGACTGCACTGAGAAACCCTGCCTCGGAAAAAAAAAAATTAGAAGAACAGAATCAACTCATTAGCTGAGGTAGTCTTACAGCATAGTAGTGTTTGATCTACTTTACACAGAACAAGGTTACTGTATGACCTTGGGGAAACTTGCTGCTTATATGCAAACCACTCAGGAATAATCAGGAATAATTTGGCGGAAATTCAAAAATGCCTCACAGAAAGGGAAGAGGCCCTACAAGGAAGAACTGAATGGCTCCCATTTTCTGTCTTGGGTTCTTCCTGGCTAGTAACACTACTGTCAGCCTTTGAAGGGCCTTTGACCTCCTGCTCCTACTATTGGCCCCTACATCATTAATGCTTTAACCAGAAATATAAATTCCCACTTAGGAGCTATTAAGCTGATGGTAATTAAGTCCCAATATGAACAGGTACCCACCACAGAGTCAAGGATTTAACTCAGGCTATAACTCAAGGGGGAAATGTAATGGCTAAGGTTATGTTGATAGCTAACTTTATGTTAAAAAGTTTAAAATCTCTGTGCTTAGGAGAACTATAAATTAACTATAAATTACACCTACAAATGTTAAGAGCTGTTAAGGGTTATTTATTTATTTATTTATTTATTTTTACTGCTCTTTCTGCTTCTGTAAACAAGCTTGGTTTTCACAAAGACAGTCTGCTTACTTGAGAACAAATTGTAACTTTGTATTCTTTGCCTTTATAAACTTGTGACTGAGGCAGCCGAGCTGTGTTGGGGAATCCTAAGTCCCGTGTGTATAGACCTGTCACTAATACCTGAATTTATAAGAGGCTTTTAAGCCTCTTCTTTGTTAAAATTTATTAACGGTCAGACTGGTGAATCTCTGAATGACTCCAGCCCCATAACACTGGTATTCCTAATCAAGGGCGTTCTAGGCAGAGTGGTGTCCCCTTGGGGGAGGTATCTAAGTAAAAGAACAAATAGCAAAAGATACAAATTACATCATCAAACTGGGTCCTCGCAAACAAAAATGAAGCCTCCCAGACTGGAGAAGCTGAGACCGGCAACTGGAGTTCCCAATTGAGCTTTACCTCATGGCTGAACTTCTGGCTTCTCTCCCATGACAGGCTCTTTCATACCACAGGATAAGCAGTAATGATCTCTGCTTCCAGCTGTTCTCAAGGACAGTTAAGTTTTTCATTTTTTTTTTTTTTTTTGGTTTTTCGAGACAGGGTTTCTCTGTGTAGCTTTGCGCCTTTCCTGGAACTCACTTGGTAGTCCAGGCTGGCCTCGAACTCACAGAGATCCGCCTGGCTCTGCCTCCCGAGTGCTGGGATTAAAGGCGTGCGCCACCACCGCCCGGCGACAGTTAAGTTTTTACTCAGGCTGTTTTGCTGTTCTTTTCTCTCTTTGTCACAGAGTTAGGGGATGTGCTGATTTGAATAAGTATGGCCCCCATAGACTCAGGTGATTGAATGCTTGGACCATAGGGAGTGGCCCTATTAGGAGGTGTGGCCTTGTTGGAGGAAGTGTGTCACTGTGAAGCAGGTTTTGAGATCTTATATGCTCAAGTTATGCCCAGTGTGGTACACAGTGTCCAGCTGCCTGTGGATTAAGATGTTGCTTTTCTAGCACCATGTGTGCTGCGTGCCATCGTGTTTTCAGCCATGACAATAACCTCTAAACCTCTGACCTGTAAGCTACCCCATTAAATGTTTTCCTATATAAGAGTTGCCATGTTTCACAGTGTCTCTTCACAGCAATAAAAGCCTAAGAGAGGAAGTAAGCTCATCCCCACACAAAGGGCCTTGAAGGACACTTGGCAAAAACTCACTTGAGTCTGAGCTGGGGTTAACCTCACTTGCAGAGCCAACTTCTCGGTGAGCTCAAACAGCACATAAACAATTTAAGGTCTGAATGTAGCATGTATTGTGCAGACCAAGAAGAGAGAGATGAGTGCAGAAGCTCCAACAGCTTGCTCCTCTCCACACTGTTTTCTTTCACGCCACGGGATGGGACCACCCACCCTGCAGGTAGAGCTTCTCTTCTCAGGAAATGCCCTCACAAGCGGCATGGACTGAATGACCATTGCTGTTTGACAAAGTCCCAGCGTTTCAACATTGCAGATCACACTTTTCCAGTTCCTTATAACTTTCATTTTTTGTGGGCCCTGGCCTTCCCATATCGAGTAAACTGTTGTCTGCTTGCTGACCTTGACCGGATGTCCTCCCTATGCTGATTCTCTGCCGATTTCCTTCTTCCTGAATGATCACCGGAGGTTCTTTGTTTGTGTATCCTGCATTTGGTGTAAACAGCTTAGATGCAAGAATGTAGAACATTCGGTAGCAAACTCCTGCCCTCCAGGGTTCCTCCATTGTGCTGTAAGCCTGTATTTAAGGTTTCCTCCCTCTTTCAATAAAGGGCATTCATCATTCACTGTTTCTTGTCTCTATTTTTTAATCCCACAGCCCCTCGCTCGGACATGGTGAACGGGTGGCGGTAGCATGGGCGCTACTGCAACAAATGGAGGTCCCACTGAGATACTACCGAGATCCGAGAAAGAAGGGACAAGCTGATGGACATCCTTGGAAGGCTGGCCAGTAATTTAAAGAAAAAAAGAAAAGGTAAGAGTGAATTGTCATGGGTGCAAATAGGGAACCACCGCAGTTAAGAAAGGGCAGACAGCTAAAGATTTTAAATAAAAAAGGGAAGGAAAGGAAATTTCCCCTTAGAAAAGGGAAGAAAATTTTAATCAAGTAAAAAGGACTTTCCCAGTAAAAAGGGGGAAAATTTTGAAACTAGGCCTAAAGATTTTTAGGGCCCTGTAGAGGAAGGGTGAGGGAAGAGAAGAGCCTCTTCCCAGTGGTATTGGAGGAAGAAGACTCTTTCCAATTGTAGAATTTTCAGGATAGCTGAAACTCTGAGCTCTTTCTGCCTGCCAGTGCAGAGCAGCAGCATTTGAATTACAAAGAATCAGCAGGTAGACCTCATTGCTGCTTGCTGAATAGCAAGCAAGCCCAGAGGTTAGAAATTTTGCTGTCTATTTGCTTAATTTTGGTTTAAATGTTTTTTATTTTTCCCTCAGAGTGGGAATAATTCAATATTTAGGATCCCTTCATGGGAAATGTTTTTCTGTTTTTCCCTTATGGTGGGAATAACTCATTATTAGGTAATCCCTTCATGGGAGTAAGAAGTTTAAATGTGTTCGTGTGCTCAGGGAGTGTGTGAGATAGCCTGGAGCAGTGGGCGAACAGGTATGCGCCAGTGGGAGGCGGAGCTGCGATGGAGCTCAGCCCAGCAGGCACCTTAGCCAAGAGAGCAGAGGCCTGGGGAGGGACAGGTGCTAAAAGTTTAAACGGGCCCAACTTCTGGTGTAAAATGGTTTCGGTCAGGACATGGAACGCTAAGTCAATGCTGTGTGAATAAAGGATGTTCTGTTCTTTTGATTGTCTTAATAAATGTTTGGATTTTCATGGTAGATAGACTAAAGGAACAGGATTCATAATTTTGAACTATATATTAGGGATGCTCTTGTCTGTTGATCATTACTGAAAATTTGGCTCTGCAAATTAAGTTGCTTTCTAGAAATTCTTGGTTTAATTCTATAGAAATATAACACCTGAAATGGATTGGGTTGTTAGCTTATTAAATAATGTTGCTAAGATAAACCCATAAATAATAATCTCTTACTGATAAAGAGGTTACAAAATTATTTTTCCAGTAAATAAAATGCAGGTAAATTGTTTGGTCCACATTGTTAATAATTGACTATTTGTGCTAATGTGTTACTTGGAATCTATAAAAAAGGATCCTCTTTTTAAGATTTTATAAAAATACTCCAGAGTATTGCCTAAAGTTACCTCTTCAAATCCTATAGAGATTGTATTTAATGCTTTTATAATTGACGTATGTAAAAAGGACCATGGAAATAGAAGCTGGTGATAGAATTGCTCAATTATTATTGCTTTTATATTTTAAATGCAAAATGGCACCTATATGTAGAACTGGAGGCTTTGGAAGTACAGGAAAAAAGGTGTTTTGACAAACAGTTATCAATGATAAACAGCCTAAATTAAAAATAAAATTATATGGGATTGAGATTGGAAGATTATTGGATTCTGGTGCTGGATATATCTAAAATTTCACAAGAATCCTGAGATCCCAATTGGCCCCTTAAAGATTCTGCCTCTAACCTACTAGGTATCGGCACAGCTCAGATGCCATTACAGAACAGGCTACTCTTAAATTGGAAGGATGAGGAAGGTCATGCAGGAACTTTTCAACCCTTTGTGCTACCTGACATTCCAGTGAACTTGTGGGGACGGGATGTGTTAGAAGGTATGGGAGCAGTGTTTACTACACAGCCTGCACAACAGATGCTGAAGAGTCAGGGCTACTGCCTGGGCAGAGGCTTAGGAAAAATGTTTCAAGGAGACCCACAACCTGTGGCAGACAAAAGCTGTGTCACTAGATGACCTAGGGATACTAGAGGATTAGGGTCTTTTCCATAGAGTCACTGCACAGCAGCCTTCTATAATATAACCGATAAAAATCACTTGGAAAAGTGATGACCCTGTGTGGGTGGAAAGTAGCCCCTTACTAAAGAAAAATTGGAGGCTGCAAACACTTTAGTTAAGGAACAGTTAGATGCTGGATATATCATTCCTTCCACTTCACCTTGGAACTCACCTATATTTGTTATTAAAAATAAGTCAGGAAAATGGAGGCTATTATAGGCTCTTAGCACTGTAAATAATACCATGCTTCTCATGGGAGCAACACAGCCTGGTTTGCCTGCCCCTGTGGCAATTCCTAAACATTGGCATTTAATTGTGATTGACTTGTATTTTATGGCTGCTAAAGATAAAATACTTGTTTTTGATGCCTTTTCTAAATTACAAGAGGTTCTTAGCCTGGCTAATTTACAGATAGCCCCAGAAAAGGTACAGGTATCTTTTCCCTATCATTATTTAGGTCATGAATATTTTAGTTTTTACTCATTCACCTACTGGAGTGTTTTGGCAAACAGGTCCTATTCTATGGGTACATTCCCCAGCTTCTCCAGCAAAAACCATTACTCCTTATCCACAAGCTGTTGCTCAGATTATATTTAAGGGAATCAAGATCAGTGTTCAAACTTTTGGTAAGGAGCCAGATATTGTGGTGACCCCATACACCCAGTCTCAAATAGCATGGTGCAAGCTAATGATAATGACTGGGCCATATTGACATGCTCCATGCAGGGTCAGTTTGATACTCACTACCCCTCCAATGATGTGTGTCAATTTTTTAAATTGCATCCTGTTATATTTCCCAAGATAGTACAGATGACTCTTATTCCTCAGGCCTGTGTGGTATTTATTGATGGCACTTCACGTGGTTTTGCTGGTGGTTTTGGTGGTTTCTGGTAATATAGTGAAGAGAATGAAAGTCCAGGGCACTTCTGCCCAGATGACAGAGGTACAGGTACTGTTGCTTGCGTTACAGATGTTTTCTGATGAGAGTGTAAATATATATACTGATAGCCAATATGTGGCACATGCCATTATGCCTTTGGAGACAACAGCCTACATACCATCTATTTCTCCCATTCATGAATACTTATTGCAAGTGCAAGGACTCATATGGTCCCGCTCACATAACCTTTATGTGGGCCATATTAGAGCTCATACCCAATTGCCTGGACCTCTAAGCGAAGGTAATCAGAGGGCTGATGCCATTACTCGTATGGCTGTCACATTAGTTTGTTCTGCCTTTGATAAGGCTACTCAGTTGCATCAATGTTATCATCTTAATGCTGGATCTCTTCGTCATCATACAGGCATAACTCGGGAACAAGCCATCCAGAGAGTTAAATCATGTCCTATTTGTGTTGAATTTTTACCTGTTCCTCATTTGGGAGTTAATCCCCAAGGACTTTTACCTAATCATGTGTGGCAGATGGACGTCACACATGTGCCTTCCTTTGGAAAATTACAATATGTCCATGTGTCTATTGATACATATTGTTCTCTAATTTTTGCTTCTGCCCATTCAGGGAAAAAGGTTAAGGATGTAAAGAATCATTGTCTTCATGCTTTTGCCTATATGGGAATACCAAAATGCATAAAGACTGATAATGGTCCAGCCTACAGCAGTACGGGATTTTCTAAATTCTGCCAAGATTTTTCTATTGTTAATAAGACTGATATTCCTTATAATCCTCAAGGACAGGCTATAGTAAAACACAGCCATCACACCTTAAAAACATATTTTGCTAAAATAAAAAGGGGGGAGCTAGGGGCTCATCCCTCCTCTCCACATTCTATTCTTTCCCTTGTTTTATATATTTTAAATTTTTTTATCAGTGGATTCTGCTGGAGTATCCACTGCAGATAAGCACTGGAGGGCTCCTGTTGCAAATCATTCTCTGGTGCGATGGAAGGATCTTTCTACTGGCACTTGGAGGGGACCCGATCCGGTGTTGGTGTGGGCCTGGGGATCTGTTTGTGTCTTTCCACAGGACAATGAGGTGCCTCTTTGGGTTCCTGAGCGATGCATGTGCCCTGTGGCTGCTGCTGAATCCCAACATGGCAGAGAACTATTGGGCCTTCGTGAAAAACTCTCCCCTTTTGATGCCAATGGGGATTGAGAGCCCAATATGGCCAGCCTTGGCAAGCATTAACATAAGCCTAGGAACTGTAGCCATTCAGTTGCATTCTTCAGAAGGTAATGTATGGTAACTTTTTTCAAAACTGTTGAGAACGTGTCACCCAGACACCTTGGAGATTAAGGATAACTCTGAAGGTCACTGACCTTCATTTGTTAACAGTAGCATGCCAGCTAAGCCTTTTTCATTTTTTCTGAAATCCTCTTCAAGCTGGTGTAGTACCTACTTTTCAGGAGTGGCTCTGTGCAACTTTTATTGGCCTCCTGAAATTCATCTAGCCTTTGAAGATACCTTAAAATTTGTGAGCCTGAATGTAGCCATTATGAGACCATTAGTTCTGCTCCTTGTTTGCTGTTTTTGTTTTTGTTTTCTTTATGATTCTTAGTTGTTCTTTTGCAGAGCTGCCAGTTTAAGTCGTGCTGGGATCAAGAAAAATGGGCCTTGGTGGTTCATGTTCCTGGAGCTGTGTCCATGCCAGTGGACCATGGCAGTTAGACACAGATGATGCTCACACGCTCCAGAAGAGAATCTGACATCGCTGTTGCCGTTGTTGCTGTTATAGCAGTGGTGGCCACCACTGCTACTGTTTCTGGGATTGCTATTTCATAATTGGTTACTACAGCTAGCACAGTGGAGACCCTGGCAGCAAAAGTAGCTACCACAGTTAGTTAATCTTTCATTCTATTGGGCATGATAAATTTAATTCAACAGTTATATACATTTCAATTGGCTTTGAAAGATGTAAAATTTATAAAACTCAAGTTCCACTTGCCTGTGGGATACCACCTATTGAGGACTCCAACTTGCAGTAAGGCTCTTTTAGGAAGGGAATGGCTCATTTGCTTTTAGCCTACTGGCTTATGGGTGGGTTAGGACTTCTGTTGGTCTTTTCTGTGTTGCACAGATTGTAAGCCCAGTGCCACTTTGAGATCTTTGGCAGCAGTTAACTCTACAGTTCACATGGTTGAGTCTGTATGATAATGAGTATTCAGAGATGGGTAATACCTGGGGGGCAGTCATCAACCTAAGCCAGAGCGCCTGGTGGCCTGGGCAGGTGTGTCCATGATGGGTAAGGTGACCTGCTGACATCCTAGGCAACCTAAGTCAGAAGCTCATTTTTTAGTAAAAAGGGGGGACCTGTGGGCCATATCGAGTAAACTGTTGTCTGCTTGCCAACCTTGACCAGATGTCCTCCCTATGCTGATTCCCTGCTGATTTCCTTCTTCCTGAATGATCACCAGAGGTTCTTTGTTTGTGTATCCTGCATTTGGTGTAAACAGTTTAGATGCAAGAATGTAGAACATTCGGTAGCAAACTTCTGCCCTCCGGGGTTCCTCCATTGTGCTGTAAGCCTGTATTTAAGGTTTCCTCCCTCTTTCAATAAAGGCATTTGGCATTCTGCTGGGGCGAATGACTTGCTGTTTCTTGTCTCTATTTTTTAATCCACAGCCCCTCACTGGGACATGATGAACAGGTGGCGGTAGCGCAGGTGCTACCACAACAATTTTTAATGATTCTCTCTGTGTGTTATGGGAGTTCCCTTATGCCTTTTCCTTTGGGAAATTTTGTGCAAGCTTTGAAGGATGAAAATATATAAAATGGCAATCTCTTTAAACAAAATAATTATTTGGGAAAAAAAATCCCCACCACCATGGAACCAGGAATCCCATTGTACCTTCCTAATTACACCAAGAACAGGAAAGTTAGAGATTTACTAGACATACCTGATCCCAAGGATGAACCACCTACAATCTAGATCCAGAACCTGAGGCCATTAAGTGCAAGAGTTCAGTTAATAAGTGTAGAGAAATCAGAGTGGTGGTATAATGTGAAAAGAGTAAGGTATCAGGACTTTACCTTGTGAGAGTGTTTGAGAGGAACAGGCCCATAGAATAAGACTAAGACACAAAGGGACACAATTAGGAAACAGCTCAGTGCTTATCCCCTTGAGGAATGAAAATTGCTCTTAAATTTAGTGTAGTGTCTGGTCCCCAAGGAAGTCCTTTTCCCAAGGCCAGGCATTTGGATAAGGGTCTCCATTCCCTCAGGGTCTTGAGGAAAGGTCCTGCTTGCTAAAAGCAGTCATTCTCTTTATCTCTGGCAGGAGGAAATTGTGGCCCTTCTAATTAAAGTAAGAGGGCTCCTAGTAAGAGTTACTGAACCTTTGAGAATAGGCATTTAGATACTTGCTGAACCTATGCTTTTGTCTCAGGAAACAAGTTGTAAAGAAGTTAATGACTGTTTTCTGTCCCTGAATCATTGAGTCAGCTTTCAATCTTGCCTGTGGCTAAACTCCTGAGTACAAAAGGTGTAGTTCTTTCTCAATAAATGGCAAAGGGAGTGTTATCGTGGGGACTCCCCAAAAGACCACCCAGAGTGTAAGTAAACTGCAAAAACTCTGGGTTTGGTGTCCTGGGTTTCAGCACCAAATGTAAGTAAACTGCAAAAACTCTGGGTTTGGTGTCCCAGATTTTGGCACCAAAATGTTAGTAAATTGATGGCTGAAACTGCAAGGAGATAGTTCAGCCCTAGAGGGCGAGGCCCAGACACCTGGAGCTACTTAGGACAAGAGCTCTGCCCTGAAGGTGTCCCAGACACCTGGAGCTGTTTAGCACAGTTCTGATGGCTGAGACTGCAAAGAAATAGCCCAACCTTGGAAAGGAAGGTTTTCTGACTTCTTGGGAGAGTCAGGCCTGGAACTGCTTCAACAAGGAAGGGTATCCTGACTCTTTGGGAAGGTCAGGATATACCTGGTATGATGGTATGATAGGAGATGGTTTCCCTGCCTGACACAGCAATCCTGCTCCTCTCCTAGAGAGCCACAATCTCTGGCTCAGTGTTACCAGCTCTTTCTTGCTCAGTCCACTATGGGACATCCCAACAAGGTTCTTCTGTTCAGCTGTCAATGAAGGTCTTCACCCAATACTCTTTTGAGAAAGAGGTTTATTTGGGAAGGTGGAGTCCAGGAGAGTAGCTGCCTCTACCAGGGTGGAGAGAACAGCTCACAACTGACTGGGCAGGGCGATTTTTATAGGATGTCTAGGGGGCAGAGTCAACTGTGATTGGTTAGTTTATTTTCTGGGATTGGCCAGTTTTGTGAGCAAGGGGCAGAGATGGCTCTGATCTGAGCTAAACTGTGTTTCTCTCACTGACCTTACTTAGCTTTCTGTCACTACTTCTAAGGCCAGGGCACATTTCATTCACTGACTCTGATTCTAGGGGCCAAGAGAGTTTCTTTGGTACTGGTTTCAGAGTCAGGGCATGTTTCCTTGGTTCATTTCTCTGACCCAGGTCCCAAACACAGGCTGTGTTTCTTTCCCTGGTCCTGAGCCCTAGAGCCAGAATTCTGCTGTCCTGCTCTGTGATTGGTTGATTTCACAAATCAGTTGGACAAGGGCAGAGATGGCTCTGATCTGAGCTAAACTGTGTTTCTCTCACTGGCTTTATCTGAGCCATCCTTCCCTAATTCTGAGCTCCAGAGTCAGGGTGGGGTTCTCTAGCCAGCCCCTTTTCCCTACACAGAGACTGAATCCCATGTGTAAAAGCAAAGAGCCTTTATTTCAAACTTGGAGCTTGGTCTCTCTGTCTGTCCCAACTCAGTGGTGAGAGCAGAGAGCCACAAGCCCAGGTGCGGTAGGGTTTTTATGATAGCAGAGGTTGGGGTGAGAGGATTTCCAAGGTTCAGGACCTTAATTGGCTGACATTTGTCTAGGGGTATAGGTGTGTGCTGGGAATGTTTGGAATGTCAGGTTATTTTTCCTCTTAGATGCTGGCCCTCCCTGGGTGGAGTCAGCTTATGGCTTTTTCTGGGGACCCAGTGGTACCTGCAAGTAAGCCTGTCATGGCAGCTGTGTTTGGGCCCCTAAGCCTGTCATGGCAGCTGTGTGGTCAAGCTGTTTTGAGTCCCCCACAGGTAGCCATCCCGATTTACCCTCAGATCATGTCTGTCACCTCCATTTTCCCTCTGCCAACTCCACAAATCTTCTTTGGGACCTGAACCACCCCCACACCTCACACCCTACCCTCTACCCATCCTACCCCACCCCTCCCCCGACAAAGCTGGTCTCTGGCACACAGGCACCTGAAAAGTTTACTTCACCAATAATTGAATCAAACTGGCAATTAAAATTAGTCTACACACCTCTCTGCTGCTAATCTCTGTGCTGGTAGTCTCCTCATACTTTTCCTTAGTTACTAGATAATAGTTTTTGTTCGTTCTTTAATACTAAAATAGCTGATTCAAAGTTGACTAGTGTGGTGGTTTGAATAAAAATGGGTACCATATGTGCATCTATTTGCCCAGTCGATGAACTGTTTGGAAACATCAATAGGTGTGGCCTTGTTGGCAGAGGTATGTCAATGGGGGTGAGCTTTGAGGTTTCAAAAGCTCACACCAGGTCCAGTGTCTCTTTTCCTGCGGCCTGTGGATCAGGATGTAGCTCCATGCACCCTACATGCTGTCATATTCCTGCTGTGACGACAGAGAATTAACCCTCTGAAACGTAAGCAAACCCACAATAAATGCTTTCTTTTGTAAGAGTTGCTTGGTCCTGGTGTCTCTACAGAGCAATATAACAGTGACTAAAACAGCTAGTGAGTCCAACATCTGGGCTCTCTCAAGGAAATTTGCTATGTAAATTTTCCTATATGTGAGTAATATTTGTTCCTTTACATATTTCATAATTTTTGCTGGACATTTCTAACCATAAAGTCTAACAATTATGGAAATCAAATGATCAACACTCTCCAGAGTGTTTCTTGCTGCTATTTGATATTGATACTATTTCTTGTTTAGTGTCTTATTTTTTTGTTTGTTTGTTTTTGTTTTTTGTTTTTCGAGACAGGGTTTCTCTGTGTAGCTTTGCACTTTTCCTGGAACTCACTCTGTAGCCCAGGCTGGCCTCGAACTCACAAAGATCTGCCTGCCTCTGCCTCCCAAGTGCTGGGATTAAAAGCGTGTGCCACCACTGCCCAGCTGTTTAATGTCTTTTATGGATGAATTCTGTAAAGTCAGTATTCCCTGTCAGGTAGAACCACTCAAGTCTCTACTTAGTTGCCTTAATGTTCACTCATGGTTGAACAGGTATTTCCTTAGGTACTATTATGTAGCACTTTCCTCTGAATTGAAACATTCCCTGCTAGAAGGAAGTTCATCAACACTCAGTATGTAAACAAAATTCATAAGTCTCAGAAAGCTCCTGAAACTTATAAAATTCACAAGGCCCTTCTTCCCCAGGGTTTCATAAGCAGCAGTAGTTGCCATGGAGAGGAGACTAACTGAGCAGGCCAGCTGCCTGGAAATTGTGCAGGGAGCTCCCGGGATGCAGCTTTCGTGGGTCATGCCCTATGTTAGGATGGGTTTTTCAGTGATAAGTCTGCCTTTGGGTTACCTGCAGTCCTGTAACTCCTCACCCATTACTTTTGTCAGTCAGCATCACTTGCCAACTTGACACAACTCTAGAGAAGAAGGAACCTCAACTGAATTTTCCAAAGGAGATTGGCTTGTGGCCATGTCTATTGTAGCGATAACAACCATGCCACCACTGCCCATTCACCATGTCCGAGCCAGGGGCTGTGGATTGAAAAACAGAGACAAGAGACAGCGGGTCATTCGCCTCAGCAGAATGCCAAATGCCGTTTATTGAAAGAGGGAGGAAACCTTAAATACAATGGGGGAACCCTGGAGGGCAGAAGTTCACTACCAGTGTTCTACATTCTTGCATCTAAACTGTTAACGCCCAATATGCAGGATACACTAACAAGGAACTTCCCTTAAGCATTCAGGAGGGTGGAAACCGGCAGGAAATTAGCATAGGGAGGACATCAAGGACAAGGTCAGCAAGCATGGCAACAGCTACCCAAAACGGGGCCTAGGGACCTACAGTCTATAAGGTACCTAATTGCTAACTGACATGGGAGGACACAGCTCACTGTGGGCGGTGCCATCTCTAGGCAGGTGAGCCTGGGCTGTATAAGCTGAGCAAGCTGAAGAGCAGCATTCTTCCATGGTTTCTGATTCAAGGTCTGGCTTTGGCTTCTTCCCTCAATGATGGACTGTGGCCAATAGTCTGGAATAAATCTTTTGCTCCCCAAGTTGCTTTTGGTCATGGTGTTCTTCACAACCACATAAAATCAAACTTTGAACACTCCTGTAAATAACCCCAATAAGCTCACTGTTCACTAAACGGGCTTTGGGTGGGATAATTGCTCTGGTGCCATATCTGTGAATGGTGAAAAGAACTTTGTTTACATCTCCCCAGGAAAGTCATATAGTAAGTACCTTGGCAAAGTCTCCCACTCCTTGCCAAAGGCTGTCTGTATCTGTTGGGGTATACCTTTAACCTTGGGCATCGCAGGTAGAGTGTTAAATTCTTCCTTAGCATTTACTCCCCATTGGTGCAGTGCCCCAAA